AGCTGAATATGAAATGCCTTTACTATATTTGCTATAGGAAAAACCTTGGGCAAAACTCTGTACCCCAGCTTATCTTCAATTCTAAAATGTACTCTATTCCCTTTATGCTTTAGTTTCGGTTATCAGTTGCAAATTTGTATTCTTATCTCTTAGTAAGGGAATGCCCTCAATATTCTTGTTTTTTATTGATTAGCTATATTTTTTATTCAACTTTATTTAATATATTTATTCATGAACTTTACTTCTTCTGTTTGTGGAAGGTACGCCCTTATCGCTCTTTCATTACCTTTAACTACAAATATCTAAATTCCAAGTAATTCTCTAGCCTCCATTAGCTATAACAAAGGAATATCACTTATGCATTCTATTTGCATAATAATTTTACATATGCGTATAGCTTTAAAAACTTTATTATCAGACATTAATGCATATGCTTTTTTCCTTACTTAGCCCCTTTTTACATAAGCCAAAGATAACGTGACATATTGAAAATTGAGCGAGAATTTCTACATAGAGCAATTTATCGAATGCGGCACGTACTTGTTCGCTCTGCTGCTGTTGTTGTTGCTGTTGGTATTCTCGCTTATCGCAATGGACATTAGCATGAGGCTTGTCAGCATTAGTTTAAAGAACTCGTTGCCCTCGACGCTCTTGACTTCGCCTACGACCCCTCCATAGATATATGTGGGTCAGGCCAGAGCGGAATGTCACCAGAAATGATGTGGCAACTGGCGATAAAGATAAAATGCAGACATGAGCCGGAAGGGATACAGAGAGGGAGATGGGAATAAGAAGCGACACACATAGTGAGAGAGAGAGGGGAGATAGGGATAGTCAAAGTAGTGGGAGAATTCTCGTAGAAGAATTCAAGTAGAAGAAGAGATGTAAAAATGAAGCTCACTTGCTTCTAATAGAGGACGAGGGACAGAGAGAGAGAGAGAGAGAGGGAGAAGGAGAGGGAGAGAGAGAGAGAGAGAGGGAGCGAAGTATTTAAAAACAGATAGCAAAAGTGGGTTACAGGAGAAGAAGTTAGGGGGCAAAATTTGAAGTAGGGAGACATTTGTATGGGATGTAATAGGAAGACCGGGGGATACAGACTGAGACTGGGAAGAGAAGAATATTATAATTAGAATAGGAGGGATAGACAGAAAATAAAGAGTGGAAGGAGAATTTGTAATTAAGAAAAGGATATAGAGAGAGGCTTGAGAGGCAGTGTGAAAGAGGGAGAGAGACAGATAGAGAGAGAGAGAGAGAGAGGGAGTGTGTGAGAGAGAGAGAGAAAGAAGGAGTTACTAATAGGGTCGTTGTTGTGGGAAATTTAAGGTAGAGGGAGTAAGTAGAAGAAAGAGACAAAACGCGATATATAAGGGTTACGCACGGAAAGCTGGGGTAGTGAAAAAGCTCAGGCAAAAGGCGGAATAAGGGAGAGCGAGATAGGAATTGGAGTAAAATGTGCTGTTGCGCATCCCAAGCGGATTTATGACACCAGCCGAAAACCAAAAATAAAGCGCTGCAAAACTGAGTGAGTTTTAATAATTGATCAAGCAGAACCATAAGGAGAAGTAGGGGCGGAATACTATCCAAAGGAAACAAGAGGAAGGGTCAGGGGTCAGGATGGTGGCGTGCTAAACTGGCATCAGGTAACTTCAGCAACAGCAGCAGCAGCGGCAGCWGCAGCAGCGCCAAAGGAAGCGTGTGAAATCCCATTTGGCTAATGGCCAACAACGTTGGCGCTGAGCGAGAGTCGCAAAACAGGAAAATCAACCTGTTTTATCCGAAAGCCTAAAGCGCCCAACCCGGTCGGTAGGGTAAAAGCTGGTTACGCTTTTCACGATTCGCCTCACACGTTTCACGTTTCGCATTTTCCGCGGCCCACTCAAAATTGGGGGCACAAGTACGAATGTCTCTGCGTCAAATATATGTATATGTGTGTATGTATGTATGCATGTATCAAATGAAGTCGGAAAACTGGTTTCATGCCTTGTCGGGCCTGGCTTGGCCTGGCCTGCTGTTTTCCACATGACACGTTGGCCTGCTTTTCCTGTTTTCTTTTTTTCGCGAGGCGCCAGCTGCAGGATCATCAGCAGCAGACGAAACAGCAGCAGTGACTGTGGTAGCGGCAGCGGCAGCGGCAGAGGCAGAGGCAGGAGCACATTACACAACACAATCATTTCCAGGCCCTGCTTCCAGCTGCGGGGGTGGTTGCTGCAACAGGGTGTGTCAGGCATGGCCGCCGACGCCAACAGATGTAAGAAGCAGACCGTAACTTGAAGTGCTTTAGCTGGGAATGCTCGACTAGCTAGATGCCCTGTAATTAATTAAAACTCTCGGGTGTAGAAGAGCTTATTACATTACTCTATTAAAGAGTGCGTGACTATAAGATACCCTAGAGGACAGTAGAGTCTAAAGCTGCCTTGACAAATCTGAGACTAGCAGATACCCTGTATATTTCAAAATATTAGGCTACATGGAAGAAGAAAGCGTAAAGTAGTTCTTAAATGCAAGATTACAGATACTCCTTGCGCTGCCTTAGCAGCTAGTTCAAGTGTGAGGAGTGTGCGGCAAGTTAATACCCTGTAGGCAAACGGAAATCCAAAAACAAGTATAATAGGATAAGGTACGAGACTCTGAGTAAACGCAGATCTACTGCTCGTTTGCTGGTTTGGTTATAAAACTCACGAAACTGGTTCTAGTTAAAACTTTTCATCTATTAGATACCCTGTAGGCAATAAGTCTACATACACTCTACAAAGTCAATAAGTGAGCACATGACATTGTTGAGAACTTACCCTGCAGGCGGAATAGACCAATTTATGTTTTACCTATGATATCCCAACTAGAAGCTCCAGTTGAGTCGCTACCAATGGAGCACTATTACATATCCTATAGTCAAATATACCCTGTACTTTATTGAACTGAATAAGAAAAATACGATTTACAGTTTGAGATGATCAACCAGATAAATTGCTGTAAGTTCAGATGTTTCGGCTTTGATTCCAAGGGTAATAGTTTTTGAAATTGTTCAAAAACAGCTTAGATGTAATTATAAAGGAAAACAGAGGCATATCTGTATATATTTCTGCTTTTTGTATAAGCTTACTCTTTTCACTTTTCAAGGGGTATAGAGTATGAAAAGAAAAACCATGTGAAAGCATTCAAAAACATTTTCAACGCCTCGAGGGTTGGCGTCGAGTTGCGTGTGTGCGTGGGTATTGCTGTGTGTGCGTATGTGTGTGTGTGTGGGTGTATGGGTGTGTGCGTGAGCTAGTTCGTTTATTTGTTTGTTGTCATAAAAGTCAAACAGAATGGCGACTGGGTGGTTGGGCGGTTGGGTGGTTGGGTTGTTGGGTGGCTCTGTGGCCTGGTGGTTGAGTGGTTGCGCTGGCCTCGCCTGTTTATTTTGGGGGTAGCTACAGCAGCTACAAAAAGTATTTCCAGGCGATGATATCAGCGAAAATGAAGCAGCTCGCCTGCATATTGGCCATCAAGGATGTGCGACTGATATCGTGTCCTTATGCAAAATCAATAGGTCGCCCGCGCAGCTGGCTGCCACAGCAATGAAGTCACATATTTTGCATTTGCCATAAAAGCTCAAAATCAATAAGCTAACATTTTTGATTGCGTATACGCAGTGTGGTACAGTTTGAGAGAGCTGGGGGAATTAATTAAAAATGTATGCAGCAGGACAACTGCTGCAGGTCGACGATGGCGTTGCCGTTGACGTTGCGCATTGACAGCATCTGTCAAAATACTCAAATGTCAACAGAAATTTCAATTGCCAATCAAAAAAGTTGCAGGAGAAAGAGTGAAAAATTGTGAAGAAAAAATCTAGATGAGAGAAGCAAATAGAGCACTTAAATGAAACTATAAATACCTCTGTTATTTTCCCATACTTTGGATTAAAACACGCATTCCAGATAAAAAATCTTTCGAAATATTTTATAGAGCCAATCTGATATTATGGAATGATCTATTTAAAGTGAGTTACTATACTCACGCGAAGATACCCCACTCCCTTTTCGATCTTTCAATAAATCCCATGCTTAACTTAATTACAATATCTCCCATCAAATTCATTTCGCTTTGTTGGCGATGCATGCATAAATTCCTCCACCCAATTGATATGCGCAGTAATCAGCATAAATCAGAAATGTAAGTATGCAAAATTGCTCGTACGCAAAGAATATTGAAAAGGGCAACAAAAGCATAGTGACCCACATATCAAAAAGAAATAAACCTATCTATATACATATATGCACATACACATGCAGAGAGAGTTTATGTATACATGTAAAAAATCGTGAAATGTTTGCTCGTGTCACTACATTTAAAATTCCAATTGCCTGCTCGCATATTCGCAGATGATGTTCGAAACTCTTCCTCTTTTCGTCATCTATATGTATATTTGGTAACTTTTCAGGTTTGTCGTCTTTTTTGTATCTCTCTCTCTCTTTCTCTCTCTCTCTCTTTCTCTCTCTCTCTTTCTTTCTCGATTTTCAGTAAAGTTCAAGAAACTGCAGATTTATGCCACGACATGCGCCTCAATCAACATTGTGGGAAAAAATGCGTTTGCCAACGGAAATTCACAATTCAAATAGTCAATTTCTGCATTGCATTGAATATAGAGCTTACTGATGCGAAATAGTTTTGATTCAATTTAAATTGTATCTATAAATTGGGTTATATTTAGAATCATATGTGCATGTATCTCTTGATATACAAACCTGGAGCAAGCTAACATTTATTATTTTCCTTTATAGCAGAAATGTATGAAATAAAGCCTCTCTACGCAATTCTCATGTATGAAAATTAGGTTCAAGAGCTCTAATACAAGCCTCAAATACTTATATATCAAGCAAATGATCCTTGTAGTGTTGATAAAATTCAACAAATCTTTTACCAACGCCTTTCTATACACTTCTCATGAATGAACGTAAGCTCTTAAAGTCTTTTGTGAAAATAGCTTAGGTTAACTTATTAGCTTATATATAAACGTATTATTACAGTGAATATGAATATGGTAAACACCTGCATGGTAAGCAAGTGATTCATTAGTTAAGCAAGTGTTCAATCCTTCTGCGTGGAACCTAATTAAGTGATTTATTATGTGGAAACAGGCATCAAAACAAACGCCTAATTAGTTAGGCAAACATATTATTAGCCGTACGACAATAGCTCATAATTATTTCGACAGCTATATAAATAGGGAAATCCTTTGGGTGACAGCAATTAGTAGAGCGCAATGTATCCAAAGTATTTGAGCAAAGATTATCCGCTGGAGAAGCATTTGTTCTTTGTCACCAGATATTCATTTGGTTTGCTTGGTTTGCACTTCGAGCGCTTGCCCAGCATTTGGTCCACTTGCTGGCTCATCTTTAATTTCGTGAATTTGCTGCATTGCTGCCAGGCGGAGTTCAGCTTCGGCTGGAGCTACATACACACCAGTCCACTGGATGCCATGGATGCCTTTTGTCCGCTCGCCTGCAGTCTGACCACGCTCTACAAAATGGCCTGCATGTGGTCGAGTCGTGTGGAGGTGGCATCGCTCATTCAGCGCATAAGACAGCTGACAGAGCAGCAGACGGAAGGCAAGCGAACCGATCTGAAGAGCGGGTACTACAGGCTGGCCACCTTGCTGTGCATGCTCATCTTTACGCTAGGCTCTATAAATACGGCGGCATTTGTGCTGAGATCCTTCTGGGAGATGTGGATGCATCGTCACCTGCCCTTCAAATACGATATGCCCTTTCGCATGATGTAGGTGCATCTGTATCTGTATCTGTATCTGTATCTGTATCTGTATCTGTATCTGTATCTGTATCTGTATCTGCATCTGCATCTGCATCTGCATCTGTATCTGTATCTGTATCTGCATCTGCATCTGCATCTGTATCTGTATCTGTATCTGTATCTGTATCTGTATCTGTATCTGTATCTGTATCTGTATCTGTATCTGTATCTGTATCTGTTTCTGTATCTGTATCTGTATCTGTATCTGTATCTGTATCTGTATCTGTATCTGTATCTGTATCTGTATCTGTATCTGTATCTGTATCTGTATCTGTATCTTTATATCTCTGTATCTTTCATCTCTCTCTTGCTTTCTTCTTCCTCTTAGCTTTCCAGCTATATTTCATCGCATGCCCCTCTATCCTCTCGCCTATCTCTATTCCACCTGGAGTGGGCAGGTAACGGTCTATGCTTTTGTAGCCACCGATGGCTTCTTCTTTAGCTTCACACTCTACATGACGTTCCTTCTAAAAGCATTACGAATGGATCTGCAGCGCATTCTCCAAGCTGTTAAAAGTAAGTATCTTTAGAGAGTCTCTTCCGCTAAGCCTTCCTTGCATCCTTTAGATCCCACACCTCTCGAATGCGAAATTTGTTGCGAACAATTGAGAATTATCATCGATCGTCACAACGATATCGTTGGCATTGTTCAACGTTTCTCTGTGATTATGGCTGCGCCAACTTTTGCACAATTTCTATCCGCCAGCTTGGTAATAGCTACGAGTGTTATCGATATACTATTGGTGAGCATACGATTATCTATACTACAATATATACTAAATTTAGGTAGATTTTATAGGAAAGATTTATATTGCAAGAAGTCTAGGGTAAGGTCTGAAATGCCTTCTTAAGAAAATCCTTATCTAACATAATGCGTATTTATGATTAGAACAATATCTGAGATTCGGTTTATTAGCTGTTTCGATAGATCTATAAGAAATTGTCTTCAGTTTCGGATAGTCCTCTCTTCCGAACCGGAGATTGAAAGATTTACCTAGGGGCTTTACATATCCTCTATAGTATGATCGGGTCTTTGGGCTTTGCGTTTTATTTATAATATTACAATATTATAATTTTCTTATTTTCCAGTTCTCGGGTTTGAACATCATACGCTATGTGGTTTATGCTAGCACAGTTAGCGCCTGTCTATTACTCTACTGCTATGGAGGCACCGAGATGTCTCTGGCTGTGAGTTCGCATATAGAATATCAATATATACACATACATACATATATAACATATCTTCTAGAGTATGGACCTGGGTGAAGCTGCCTACAATAGCCACTGGTATATGTGGAATCGTGAGGTGCGGCAGCGTATCTTTCTGCTCATCATGCGTGCCCAGCGACCCATCACAGTCCGGGTGCCCTTCTTTGTACCATCTCTGCCCGTCTTTACATCGGTGTGTATATGTGTGTGGGCTATATAGAATTCATAGTCAGGAGAGCTCATTGCATTGTTTGTTTCGCTCTGCTTTCTCTCTTGCAGGTCATCAAGTTTACGGGCTCCATTGTGGCGCTGGCCAAGACAATACTTTAATGGACACAAAGCAATTGAAATTTTTCGTGTTACAAAGGAAAAACTGCCAAAGGGGTGTAGTTAAACATATATATTGATATCTATGTATATACATACATATATTGATATGTATGTGTGGCTATATCTTGCACATACATATCTACACTTTATGCTTACCCTCAAAGTATGCAGCAGTCTCTCCTTAGCTGCTAGTACTTGTGTAAAACATATAGAAAATATATACGATATGTGTGGAAAAGGTATTGGGAATTGTAAGTTTTAAGTGAATGACACCACAGTCATGATCCTATGAAAGAACGACATTTGATTGATATTAAAATGTTGCAGATATATTATGTATAATATCGTATCGAAGGATTATCTGAACACGATCACAGATAATGACTTTTTAAAGTGGTTCAAGGATTGGGAAAAGACGATATGTGGATTATTTTGAGAGGGATCAATATAGATTTACATGAATAAGTAAATGGTATACGTACATTTTTCTATATCCCCCAATATTGCAAGCCCTGTGATATCATATCACCTGGCCAATTGCAACCTAGTCTCTCCTTTAAAGTTAAGTTCTTGTCATGCAAGCCAAGCTCAAGCTCTATAGGATAGATTTGCTCAGTGAAAGGAAATGAGTAGGTGTTCGTCTAAACAGACTGGGCAGCTGGTTTGATTAAAGTGCCAGCAGGTGGGCGAGTTCGTAATTTGCATTTGTCCAGTTTATATCAAGGGAAATTTGCATATGGTTATTCGACGACAACAACAACAACAACAACGCCAGCAGCGACAGCAACTGCAGGTGACGTCAAAAGGCGTCACTAACGAGGACAAAGCTGGGCGCTCCATGTGAGCAGCTTGATTAAAAGCAAAAAGTCAAAGGCTGCTCATATAACAACAAAATCAATGGGACGGCATTTTATTCAATAGCCATACGGAGCGTATACGTAACGTGCTGTACAATGGGTAAGCAAAGCAACTGAATGCTGCACCGATCTAAAAGAGAGTGAGAGAGAGAGAGAGAGAGAAAGAGAGAGATAAAGAGGGTGAGTGTCCCAGCTCATTGAACACGTGCATCAGCTTTAAGTTCAGATAATTCCTTGACCATAAATTAAATGTGATTTTAAACAATTTTGATTATCTGAATATGTAGCTGCTGATTAAATTTACGTGTTTTAGATTAGGGAAAAGAAAAAACCCGAAGAGTGGTCAGTCAGCTCCAGTTTAAATGAGCCTCTTTTAGTGCATTTACGTTAGCTGATCTGAACGGATCGAAGTGGAATTCGCTATATATATATATAGATATATAGAGATAAAGTCAGCTATGGGCCAGTTTTATGGTTTATTTCGACTGCTGTTGGTCAGCTTCTTTGTGCTGGCTATAGCCAAAGCGGAAAAGGGTATGTAAATGGAGTATATTTATATATACAGAGAAAAGATTATCTCTAGCTTCTTAATTTAATCATCGAGGTTCGATAATGAGACGGGCAAGACTAGCTCAACTTAGCTAGTTCTCCTGAACATACATATAGAGCTGTGTTTCCACATCAGGGCTTCCGTAAGAAAAATGATTAAATTTTTCATGAAAATAACATTATACATATATTCGATATGTTTTGGTTATATTGCTTGATCGAAAACCTGGTTGTAAATCCATTTATTTTATTGCGTCTTGGCAGTTGCGTGGTATATACTGTATATACTTTATGGGGTCTGCCACGCTTTTATCTAGCTGTTTGATAGATTTTAATAACACTCATAATTCCCATTTTCAATTGGCTTGAGGTATAACAATTTTATTTTTTTAGGTGAAAGTCAATAATAGTAAGTAAAGGAAATTTGAAAAGAAATAATTATATGGGCAAGGACGATCTTCATACATCCGAAATTCACATGCCTAGCTATCTAACGCAATTAGTTAAAGTTTCACGATGAATTCAGCTAATCATATATATATTTATATAGTGCCACATATTATAAATATTGACTAGTCCCATTCGCGGATCAATGTTCACTTTATAATGTCATATACCAATTGCTCGCTAATCTGCTACTTCCACAAGCTTCTATCAAATCAAATGCTTTGATTATAGATCGTCGCTCGAAGATAACTAGAAATCCCTAGTATTTTGAAGACTAGACTTCCATGAAATAGAATTTATGTATATAAATATAAGCACCTGCGATAAGCCGCAACGAATTAGAGATTAGTTAAAAGTCAATTGTAAATTTCCAGACCGTCAGCATGGACGAACCCTGGCAAGGCCCACGCCAGCCGTTAGATTTGAGAAGGAAACGCTAAGCAGCTACTGGCGCGAGGATGCGCAGAAGACACTGGCCCACAAGCTGGATGCACTGGCTCAGCTGAAGAAGCAAGGTGCCAAGAATGTGATCTTGTTTCTGGGCGATGGCATGTCGATTCATACGATAACTGCGACCAGGAATCTGCTTGGGGACAGCTCCGAGAAGGTGTACTTTGAGAAGTTTCCCTATACGGGTCTATCGAAGACCTACTGTGTGAATCGCCAGGTCGCTGACTCCGCCTGCACCTCCACAGCTTATCTGGGCGGTGTGAAGGGCAACTATGGTACGATTGGTGTGAATGCGAACGTGTCGCGTTACGATTGCAATGCCGCCTATGTGGAGCAGAATCAGGTGGATAGCATCGCCAAGTGGGCGCAGGATGCGGGCAAGGATGCGGGCATTGTGACAAGTGCCAGAGTCACGCACGCCTCACCAGCTGGCGCCTATGCGCACATCTCCGATCGCAACTGGGAGAACGATGCAGAGGTTAGGGCTCAAGGTTGCGATCCAGAGGTCAGCATAGACATAGCTCGTCAGCTGGTCGAATGGGAGGTGGGCAAGAAATTGAAGGTGATTCTCGGTGGCGGCAGACAGATGTTCCTGAACGAGACCGTGCGTGATGAGGTGGGTCATCCCGGCTATCGCCAGGACGGACGCAATTTGATCAAGGACTGGCTAGCCGATAAGCAGGCACAGAATGCCTCGGCGAGCTATGTGTGGAGCCGCAAAGGTCTAACCGAAGTGGACTTGGATAATACGGACTATCTGCTGGGTCTCTTTGCCAATGGGCATTTGCCCTATGACGGCGATCGTGAGCGCAGCCCTAAGAATAGCCATTTAGCTGATCCATCGCTAACCGAACTGACGGAGGCCGCTTTGAAGATTCTACGGAAGAATGAGAAAGGATATTTCCTGTTTGTGGAAGGCGCACGCATCGACATGGCCCATCATTCGAACTATGCACGTCGCTCGCTGGAGGACACTGCCGAGTTCGCTCGCGCCATACAGAAAGCACGTGAAATGACCGACGTGGAAGATACCCTAATTGTCGTGACGTCCGATCATTCGCACGTAATGACCATCAATGGTTATCCGGTAAGCTAGAGAATTAATCCGATTGTCATCCATTACTAATTTCTTAATATCATTCGCTTCCTCTTCTAGCTACGCGAACAGGAGATAACTGGCTTGGCTAATAGCTTAGCCGACGATGAGAGACCCTATAATATACTCTCCTATGCCAATGGACCCGGCTATGCGGGCACATACACTAAGGCAGACGGTCGCAAGCCCATTAGCCAGAAGCACACCGAAAATCCGATGTTTGTGAATCCGGCAATGGTGCCGCTCAGTGCCGACACCCATGGTGGGGATGATGTTGCTGTTTTCGCTTCGGGTCCTTTCGCCCAGTATTTCAGCGGCAATTACGAGCAGACCAATATTCCTGCTATGATGGCCAGAGCTGCTGCTATCGGTCCTTTTGCCAATGTCCAGCCTTAGATGCGGTCTCTCTCACTCTCTCTCGATATATTTCTGTTCTGTGCTTTTCGTTGCTATTTTGTCAATTCGAGTTGCCAAATGCAATTAAAATGTTAGCGCAATAGCTAAATGTACTGGTCATGACAGTTTTAGGAATACTCTTACATGGGGTATTTCACTTTAAAGGTCATTATGTAACAGATAAATGTTTTTAATCTTATTAAAAATATGGAAACTACTTTTTTCGACTTTGTTGTTTATCTTAAACAGTCTAGAAAAGCTTACAAATTTGCAAGTCTTTTTAGCTGCTGTGACTTACTTACTACTTACTATTATTTAGATTCAATAGAATTTATATAGTGAATGGCTGAAGATTCTACATTACTTTTTCCCAGTGCTTCTAACAAGTGTACATGTAAGATATGGGAAAGATCAGCCAGTAGAAATGTAAGTAAATAATTKAATATATACTTTAAAAGAATTTCCTTATAAAGTAAAATTCATAAATCACATCGAATATTTTCCCAAACTCAATGAATAATCAAAGAAAGTAGTCAGAGAAAAAACCGGCAGTTATAGAGTATTAAAATGTCGGCTTAGCCATAATAAATAAACAGTTTCGTTTGTTAACCAAGTTTTCGTAAATGGAATTGGTTTTAATTGAAAGCCAATTGGTTGCGACAGCAGCACAATTTCCTGTCAATTCTCGCTCATAACAGAGACACACCGAGATTGATTCACAGGTGAGTAGCAGGTGCAATTGCAGTTGCAGTTGCAATTGCAGCTGCAATTCAATTAACAATCGGCTTCAATCAATCAATCCAAATAGATGTTGTTTGTGATTGATTATAGCAAAAGTCGTGAACTCAGCTAGTTGCTTAAATCTTGGCCAAACTTTTGCCGTTAGCTTAGTTCCAGTTGATTTAATAAAGAACTTGCAACTGTCCAGCAGCAACAGTGATTGATAACTAGCGCAGGCACGATTAATGACTGAATTATATATTTATCGTTTAGGCGTTTAATTAGTTTGATATAGTTTCGTTAATTGGCCTATCGATTAATCGGCTAATTGGATTTTGTATTTGCTGCCGGCCCTATGAGAATTTAATGGGGATTGTTAAAGTAATTCAACTTTTGCTACAGCATAATAATTGTAACATATATTTATATCTACATATATGTATTTACAATGCTCCAGTTACGCCCGCTTGCCATGGGGAATTACTATAGTCCCGGCCCATCTGGGGGCAGCTGCTGTGGCTGCCGCTGTTGCATGCAATTTGATCACTGGGCCACAGCCGCAACGACTAACCGCACTATGCCAGCCGCCTCCTGCTGCTGCCCCGCCCCCTTATGGCAAAGCTGCGCACAATCTCGCACACCTGTCTCTGTGCGGTCTAGCGGACATTCCAATGAACTTCTACTTACCAGCAGAAATGCCAACAGCAGCAACAGCAACGGCAGCAGCGGCAGCAGCAACAATTTGGTCATTGTCACCCAGCGGGGCTTTGTCATGCTTCACAGCACACAAATATGTTTCACACGCACACACACACGGGCAGAAATATGCACACAAACAAAACACATACACTAGCACGTAAACGAACGTTGACAATTTAATTAAAACACGCAGATAGTCGTGCTCAAGCGACAAACGGGACATCTGCTGTCCCACGCTTAGCTAGCGCCACTCTATGCCTTATTATTATTTCATTATGATATACAACATTTTTCAATTATAAGCAAAACAGATTTCCTTTCTTTTTTGCATTTAACACCATTATGCACTTGACTTTTTAGCACTGTAAAATGTCCTTTACTATCGATATTGCTTGGTGATCGAAGCGGAGTTAGCTGCCAATTTGAGTAAACGACATTTGTAATCGTTCTCTTTACTCAGGGAGTGAGCGTAAGAAAACGATGTGTGCAAGGAATGTGAAACGATATTTGTTGCATTTACTTGTACATTTAAAGCTGTGCAGCATACGATATTCCAAGCAGAGGAAACGATATGAGACATATCGTAAATGGCTTATATGCTGTTGCATTGGTCTTTATGCATACCATTTCTGCTCTGGCACCTGACGAATTGCCAATTGGCTGTGCAGCTCCAATTGGAGCAGCTGCTTAGTCAGCGGACAGGGCAGCCGCAGCAACTGCTTCAACTGCAAAACCAACAACAAAAGCTACTCAATATCGTATTCAACTTCTGCTCCACATTTCGTCATATTGTACTTTGGTATTTACTGCGTCTTGCTCTGTTTACCTCCTGATAAGAATCCAATTCGGGAAACGGAATTCATATTTAAATTTTAGAGCCGCTCCCCTCATTTCCGTTGTCATTTTGCATCCTTGACGGAATTTTGTCTATTGAATTTCTTGGCTGCTTTCATCGAGCACCTTAGATTGAATATCCTGCGCATCCTGCAGCGAGCCAAACCTCAAATGCAGCTCATTGAGCGTATCGTAAGTAAGATTCCGATTAAATAAGCTAATATCGTAATTCGATTTACATTGCAGAACTCTTGGTTGGCCTTGCAGCTGAGCTTGCAGAGCAGCAGAATTCATATCTCTGGCATCGTCACCCTCAATCACAGCTCATTCTTCTACTTATTTGCACAGACGGTGGAAAATTCGCTATTATGTAAATGGGAATGGATTGGGAGATGATTAATATTAATCAATATATGTTTGTCTGTGGTATTAAATCTTTATATTATATATTGGTTCCTTAGAAATCAAAGAAACTTTTTGTCTATCTATATCGCTTTATACTCAATGGGAGAGTAAGTTGCGAACGCAATTTTATTTACTTTCACTCATCTTACGATATTTGTATGCGTGTTATATATGTACATATGTTGTTATTCGCTCAATAATGCGAATAAATTCCAATATGTTAGATTAGACTTACATATGCGCACTTTACGATAGACAGGCAAGCATATCGTAAATGCAGCATAGCAAAGCAATTTGAATAGAAATGATGCAAACGATATTTGTGTTATTTACGCATGTGTGTATTTTGTATGTAAGTATGTATATGTCTCTGTGCATGTGTATATTAATGATAAAATACTATTATTCAATGAGTTTATTTTTCTGACTCATATCGTAAATTAAGATATTTACGATATACAAAGTCTATTTATATATGTATGTATGTACATACATGCCTTATTTATTAGCTGCAGAGCGAAAAATAAATAAACGATGTTTGCTATTCTTAAGTATCGCAAGGTAAGTAAGCAGTATTCCTTAATTAAATTATTAATATGTACATATGTATGTATGTAAGTATGTATATACATTTGTGTATGTGCGTGGCTGTATATGTATGTTCCCGCAACTGAAACTGTGCAGGCTTGAGAGATTGTTTCCATATAATTTCGAGTTTATACCTCTGCATAGGTTCTTTTAAAAAGGACACGTTTTCATATTCTTACCAAGCAATTTATTTTAAGTTTTGAACTACTAGAAAGATTTTTGTACCTATTATTTCTAGTTTTTTTTTTGTTTTTTGTTTTTTTTTTTTTTTTTGTAATTTTTGTATTTTATTTCGGATTCTAACAAGATTATTTTTTAATTTGTGCCATAGAGATGTTTGGTTAGGGACATTCAAACAACTCCAACTGGACTCCAATTGGACGGTAGAGACAGAGAGAGAGAGAGAGAGCTGAAGAGCAGAGGGCCAAAGGTGGGAGTAGCTGACAAGAAAGTTGTGAAAGCCAAAGCGAAGCCCAAGTTGAGAACCCACTAGGAAACTGGGTCAGCAGTCAGCGTCGAGTGTGTAGAGCGCGAAAGTGTGGCGTTAGAGGGAGATGGAGATACAAGCACACACTTATACAGCTGCTGGTGCTGGTGCTGGTGCTGGTGGAGAGCATGTCAGATAAAACGAAATCCAGTTGTGTGGCTTTTCGTGGGAGCCGACCACCAAATGCTTTTTGTTAAGGGCCACAGCATTTTCCTGCATTTGTATCTGTCAGCTACTTGCTGCATTAGAAAAAGCAACAAAAACAATTATGCGCCAAAACGCTGCCTGCCAGATGAGAAAAAAAAAAACCTAGAAAAAAATGACTTCAGCATACAGAAAATGTGTCCAAACTAATGGCGCTGACTCAGCCTCAGTTGCCGACGCTGGCAGAGAGAGCGAGCGAGCGAGAAACCGAAAGCTTTGCTGAGCTACACAAAACTACATGTTCGTACATATGTACACACTCAATGTACATACAACAAATACAGATACATACACAGTGGCGAAACACGAACACGTGATACCTGATGTCGGTGTGTGTGTGTTGAAGCTGTCGCAGTCGCAGCTTTTTAACGAAACTTTTCGCTCGCTCTCTTTGTGTAAAGCGCGCGCGCACTTCTAAGTAAATTCAAATTCGACGCGCTTTTTGTAGCTTTCGCTGACACAATATGTACAAAGTATATATGCGTGTGTGTGTGTGCAGGGGTGTAACATACAGAGAACAGGGGAATTGTTCGCGCAGCGACTGCGACGTTGACGCAGCATTTAAGTGTGCCACATTTTTTTATGTTTGCTGCCTGGTTGCCAAGCGCGCGCACTCACACAATTACAGCTACAAAATATATGTATACTGACATTCTGTTTTTTTTTCCTTATGTCAAAATGGATGTGAATTAACAGCCAAACGTTAGCGTTTACTGTAGCATTTCAATTACAGTCAGAATTCGTGTCAAATGCATATTTAGAAAAATACACACATCCATATATATGTAGATACATACATATATTTGTATGCATGTACATATTTCAATTGTTTTGTATGTACATATATCTGACGCTGCAAGTATAAGAAACTATTTGTCGTTTATCGACATTTCGTCTGTTTACTTAACCTAAATGCGCGTCTCATACCGTCCAGCTCATCCACACATGTGTGTATGTCTGTATATTGGACTTATGTAAGACTGGGTGCGGAAGTGGGCTACATATATACAGCGAGCAAGCATATGTAGTAAACAAAGGGGAGTGAAAGAGATGAAGAGATAAGGTGAGAGCGCGCGCGCAGCCAGG